CTGTGTGATATTTCAGGGATGTGATATCACATGATATCACGAAAATGACGTAGAAACGATATCATTCTACAATCAAATGATATCATGTGCCGTCTGGGCGGTATCATTGACAAAGCAATTTTGCTCTCTCACCTGATTTTTCACAAGGAAAACTTGGTCAAAGCTATACAGATCTTGTTGTCCAACGATTATCCATTGGATTTGATTTTCAAAACTGTTAATAGAAGATTGCATTATTTATTTAATAACAAGTTGAATTTGGTGAGCGGCGGGATTGCCTCGAGTGAGACTTGTTCGGGTGACGGAGAGAATTTTTTCACTGTGCTCTTTTTACCGGGAGTAACTGATAATATTTCTAGATCTCTGAAAACTTTAAATTTCAAACTTTCTTATAGAAATTTGAATACATTGAAATGTTTTATACAGGTAATAAGGACAGACTTGTTCCGACATCTAACAGTAATGTTGTTTACCGAATTAACTGCTCTTCTTGTGACGCTTTGTATGTGGGCCAAACGAGCAGACAATTGCGCACAAGATTAACCGAACACTAGCGCAATTTTTATCAAAAGTACGAATGCCAGTCTGTGGTTAGCAGACACCGTAGTGATTTGGGACATGATTTTACATGAGGGGAAGTTCAGATTCTTGACAATGAACAATTTTATAATAAGAGACTTATCTCAGAAATGTTACACATAAAGATGCAAAAAAAAACGGCTTAAATGTAATGATGGACCTACCTCTTGCAGGCTAAAAAAGAAATTACCACAAGATCTATTACCAGACCATAGATGTTCTGTTTAGTTTCACCAGGGAAGAGGTGATGAACCCTCCCTGTGCATGTCTGTTATATATGAACAAATCTATTGCTGAATGTCCTACAAAATGGACAGATTGTAATATTCTTGGAAGTCCAAAAAAAATATAATAAAGGATACTGAACTTCTAGATCCTGTGTATGCGCCTTTACTCGCGAGGCTTTGTAAATGAGCCCTTATTTGCGACTTCACTTCTCCCCCCCCCCAGTCATTACGCAATGCGTTTACGTGGTGCCGTGGTATTTGTTATGCTTTCAAGAGATTTTCGTGACTTCAGGTTATAATCTATCAATTATTTGTAAGTTTTAATTACCCATAAATCATAATTATTCTCTGACTTTTATTTATTTTATTTTTTGACTTTTATTACATATTTAACTTATATATTTAAAGAATTTGAGATGTGATAACATGTTGTCTAACTGCCATATTTCTCTCGCTTGCCGACATGCGTTAACGGTACCCGTACCATTGACTTTGATGTGCGTATAAATCTTTATGTAATATTTATATTAATTTTATCTTTATTCATTTATTTTTTATTATTTATTTTTTATCTTTATTTTTTTATTTTTTATTTTTTATTTGTATCTTGCTATATCTTGTCACTATGTTCTGCGCATTCTGCCTGATTTTGTATTTATTTTGTGTTTATTTTGTCATTTGTATGTTTAGTGAGGCTGAAGATGATCGAAACGTTCCTTGATAATCTTCTTTTGGACTAATTTTTTCAAGCCACATCTATCTGGGCTCTAGAGCTGGAAAGTCTATTTTACTTATTTAATAATAATAGTAGTTATAGTAATAGAAATAAGTAAAAATAACATATATACATATATATACATAGTGGCGGGATTTATCCTGTCACAACATTATGCATCATACGTTGAGTTAAATTATTTCAGGAAAAGGGGGTGCAGGGAGAGAGGCAAAGCCCCTTCTCCTGCGAGGGAGCGAAGCCCCTCCTGCCTACTCGTGTCATACAAACAACATATTTACTTCAGAAATCGACGGTGTTGGAAAACAAAGAATTCATTTGTGAAACTTGATTTGTTTCTACCTCGAAAACTAAAGCCAAGCGACGGTAACATGTATAGAGAAAAGTTGTTCAGAATAACGTTCTCAACAACATATTTTAAGCTTATTGAAATTGGTGAGAAAATCCACTTTGTAAATAATTACCATATATACAGGGTGTTTGACAACAAACAAGCCGACGTGTGTAGGTAGATCAGATCATTCTAAACAGAAAAGTTATGCATCATTTTGCAAAATTCGCAATAGTTATTGAGATATGAATTAATAAATGTGAGCCAATGAGGGCGCGGGAAGCGATGATCAGACTCTATAGACGTGCACAATTATCAGCTCTACTCCTTGCTCGCCGCTGCTTGCTACGTACAGTCGGCGTCAATGAATCGTTTCGTGGACGCGGGGAGCTAGGGGTAAGAGAGACGGTATTCCCTAGCAGTAAATACTGTAATTGGTCAATTCATCAAAATCTGCTACAGTTAGTTAGTGCGGCGCCCGTTGGCAGTACTTACTCCTAGGGAATATCGTCTCTCTTACTCCTGGCTCCCGGGGCTACGAAACGATTCATTGACGCCGACTGTACCGCCAAATAGCGCTCGATCGCAAAAAACTGAGTCGTGCTTGTTTGTTTACTCCGTCTCTCGTTACTAAGACATTACATGAGAGAAGCCAGTTTTCTTTCTATCTAATAATCGTGCACGTCTATAGAGTCCGATCATTGCTCTTCGCGCTCTTATTGGCTCACATTTATTAATTTATATCTCAATAACTATTGCAAATTTTGCAAAATGGTAAATAACTTTTCTGTACAGAATCCGATTTACCTACACATATCAGCTTGTTTGTTTGTTGTCAGACACCCTGTATATATATGCTAATAAAATTGAAATTTTAATATTAAAATTTTAATGTTTGTAAATAGCTATTCAGAAGTATTTTTGATATTACTAGAATTAAACATATTATTTATACAAAATACGTATACAATATATCTTGAGAATTTTATATTATATTTTTATGTAATATATATTTCTACAACATTGCTGGAACATTTCGGCGAAGTATTAATATTGTATGTCTCTAAAACGTCTTTGCAATATTACATTGCAACTTCTTATGTTGCAACGTTTCTGATAATATTGATAATTTCGATTCTGTATGGGTTGTTATATAAAAACTAAAACTTTCGTGACATTTGTTCCAAAACTGTCGAATAAATGAAAATAGCTTTTTCAAAATTTGGCTCTTTCATGCCTTTCACTTTTCCCCTAATCAGCAGCTGATTATTAACGCTAATATTGTAAGTTTTCGTTGTGTTTCTTATTTCTTGCGTTTGTTTTTGGTGTGTGTACTTTTTACCTTTATATTTCAGAATTTTCACTTGGATTGATTTTATATTTCATTCTGGATGACTCGGAGAAATCGGACTACATTTTATGAACAACAGAAAAGTAACAACACAAAAGTTTTTACACGTATAAGTACACTATCCGAGACCGTTATTTGGAATGAAACATTTATATAATTCACAACTATATATATATATATATCTTCAATTTTTCTTTAAATTTGTTATTTTTGCGACTGAAGAAACTTCTGGTGTAAGATTGAAACATTTTGCTATGAATTTACTGTGTTGTGTGTGTGTGTGTGTGTGTGTGTGTGTGTGTGTGTGTGCGCGTGCGAGCGCGCGCGTGTGTATGTGTACGTGTAACACCGCTTAAATATATTTAAATCCATTTTGCTCATATTTGATCTCTTTTATTATTTTTATTTGTTTATACAGCTATGTTTAATTTATTATTTTTTTACATACATTATCTTACAAACGTGTTATTATAAATAGTGATAGTGTCATATTATATCACATCGCTTTTATGTTTGCACGCGGGATATAGAAGAACTTTCGACGATCAACCAAATCTTCTAACATATTTAGATCGGGCAATATAGATGGGAACTCAAAAAAAAGATTAGAGTACGTAGTTACTGATGATACCTGGCTGGGACTGAAAAGATATGTATTTTTGTCGAGATCGTTACGATTGCTAGGTGTATAATATGTTTCCGTAGTTGTTGGTTGTTTCGGATAATAGGGATCATACTCCAGTTTATTCGGTACTAATGGCTTTAAGGAAAATGTCAAAGCGTACACGGGAAGTTCTGTGGTAGGCTGTATAGTAGTTGTACGAGTGTTTGCTTGAATTGATTTCAGTGTCTCTGAGTAGGGATGATAGTCACTGTCGTAACTCAAGATGGATTTGTCACGTGAAGAACAAGGCGGATACTGGGTAGAGTATGCTAACAATCTCGTGGGCGAAGAGCTCGCGATTGACTCCAATGCACGACTCGGATACGCTGTGTTCTTATCTCGTGCAAAAGTGTGAACTTCTGATGATGATAAAGACAACGACTTTGGTAAATTTAATTTATTGTTATGTAAATTCCAATTAACTTCGATAGGCGTTTGAGTACTAGAAAGTGTTGGGCGATTCTTTGAATTAACGTTGTATTTTATGAAAGTGATTCGATCAGTTTGATTTTGCGTTTGATTCTGATCTTGCAAGAATAGACGCGCGCTGAATATGAAGCCAGATTGCAACTTATTAGACACAGATTTATCAGGCCGTTGAATTACTTGAAAAGAACGTGAAATTGATAGTTGATGATTGTCAAGCAACGCACTTGATGCAATTGTGGATTTTATCGATGGAGTTGTATGTATCTTTTCTCTATCAACGTTCTTATTTGGAAATCTACTTGACGGGTGAGAGATAGTTTGACATTTTACAAGATGAGCATGGTCACATATCAAAGCATCCTGCCGAAAAGCTGTTTCCTCGGGACATCGATAACTGAATTTATTTCCGTGATCATCGCACATGTGATATACTCTGCAATTTGCCTCGATGTCAGCATAAAATCCCATTGGCCGGTTAATACAAGAAAAGTTGGTTCTTACACTTGGAAGAGTATTCTGTGCAAAAAAAAACATCACATAAGTGATATATAAGTTGAACATAATATTTTTGAATAAAGAATCTGTTTTTAATATACATCTGTCTTGTAGTTAATAGCTCGATTAACTATTACATAAGATTATTAAATACTTTTGTTTATAATCTACTAAAAATTTATATAATTATATAATTATAAGCAATTTATATAATTATAAGCATATTTTATCTAATGTATACATTATTTCTTAACATAGTTTTGGAGTTCTTTCGCTACTTACAAAAACTTCTTCGGCGTAGACAATGGTCACAAGTAGTGCAGATTGTACAAAATACAATAGTAAATTCCAGTAAAATGTTATTTGCCACAACCAAGTGAAAATTAATAACAAAATACGCATGTTTAAGGGACGATTAAGTGAAAAGTAATAAAATCTACCGCTCTTACACTGTCTAGAAACTCTTTGCATAGCAATACAGCGAGTAAAGAGTTTGAGTGAAAGTTACTCGAGGATGAGTCTATAAAGATTCCTTTCTCTTTTTCTTATTCCCTTCTTTCCTCTTCTCTCTTCTCCTGTTTCTCTCTCCCTCTCTCTCTCTCTTTCTCTTTCTCTCTTTCTCTCTCTATGTTTCTTTCTCTCTACCTTTCCTGATATCTTGTTTATTCCTATTCTACGCATCTTCTCTTTATTCTTTCGGTTTTTAATTTGAGTAAAATAAAAGAAACAAATACTAATAAAATAAGAAACACAGAATAAACTTATCGTTTTGAAAAGGTTTTAGTGTTTTCCGAATATCACTTTTTTTACTATAACAAGAAAATTGCAAAAGCTACACTAAACTAATAGTTTCGTTGAGATTACCAAATTTTGGTAATCTCAACCAAAATTTGGTTTTCAAAACACTTTATTTAGTTTGATGTATCAAATTGTGGTTATCTCAACAAAACTGTTTTTTCAGTGTATTGCGAAAATCCCACAATCATTTCCATTCATGTGACATAGCACTCTAGAAAATATAAGTTGTGATAAAACTCTTATTATCATCAAAATAACCTGAAAATAATTGTTTAACAATTTTACGTAAATTGCTTAACAATTGTACGTGTGATCTTGCAATTGCTTTTGATTTAATGAATCGTAAATAAATATCTTCTTTCTGTTATAGTAATTACATGCCTAATATCTAGTAAAACTATATCTGCTTTGTATTTGTTGGTATAAACTTTGTTGTGTAAATACAACACAATGTACACATCAACAAGTTTATTAACCTTTAGACTGCGGGGAAATTTCAGTACAAATTGACCTCTCAGAATATGTAAAATGTATACATAATATCACTGGATATCTCAGATAGAGTCGCTGACCTGACTGCTGGTCCATATATGGACCAGCCCCGCAGACAACGTAAAGTACAATGTAAAAACATTTGTCTCTTTTCTTATGAAGATTCGAGAGGGTATTTCTATGTAATTTCACGCGTTGAATATGAAAAAAATAGTAACAAAATTCTCGCAGACACCCTTGACCTTGAAAATCACCATTTGAAGGTCAAATTTCATTCCTACTATAAGTCAAGTTTTGAGACGGTTTTCGTATGTAGTTCGATGTGCTGAATACGTAAAAAATAATAAAAAAATTCCTGTTGATAATCCTGACCTTGAAAATTTCTATTTCAAGGTCAAATAGCATTTCTCGTATAAGCCGAGTTTTGAAAAGGCTGTCGTACGGAGTTTGATGCGCTGAATACGTAAAAAACAATACAAAAAATCCCGCAGGCACTCTTTTGTTATGCCAAACGTCAATTTAGAGGTCAAATTTCTTTTCTACTACAAACGCAGCAAGTTACTGCCGGGTCTCAAAAAATGTCAAAAAATATTCTGAATTCCTTAGAATATTTTTTTACGGTTTTTCTCACTTTAGCGCGTCAATGACGTTTCAAAGTCATCTCCAACATTCGCTTATGCAAGAAATGAAATGTGACGTAGAGTGTAGCTCAAAGATGCGTCAGTGATTTTTTTCAGTATTTTTTTCGTATTCAGTTCATCAGTTTGCATAGGAAAACACTCTAAAATCTTCGATTCTACTAAAAATGAAATTTGACCTTGAAAATCAGTATTTTAAGGTCAAGAATGTTTTGAGAAATTTTAAAACTATTTGTTATGTATTCAGAACATCAAATTTGATCTAAAAACTTCAAATATTCTATGTCTCTAGAGTGGTCCATATATCGACCACTCGCAGCTAAAAGGTTAAGAGATGTGTCTCGATGCTAAGTGCATAGAAGCATTTGTCGAACAAGTGTCACTATCAAGACGCTATCGTGTGTACTTTATCCCGAGGTATTACTCGGTAAATCTTTAACACAAACTATTAAAAAAAAAAACATTATGAAAACTTTAACTTTACTTGTCTTAATAAATGTCAAATCAAGTTTTTGATGATTGAGAAGTGCGAATTTTATTGGTACGGTCAATCCAGAGATCTAAAATATTACTACAAACTACAAGAATCTGTCACGCAGATTCTTAAGCCTCTTGCACAATGCGAGGGAATAGTGATAGCGATAAGCAATAGACACAGAATTCCAACTCGTCGGAAAATTTATCGCTATTGCTTATTCCGGTTTCTGATCTGTATTGATACACGTGTATTTTTGTATTAGATTCCGCTGTTCCTACCGTTATTTATAAATATAAACTCTTTAAAACTGGTGTTATTTCTATCGCTATCGCTATTTCTTCCATTGTGCAAGAGGCTTTAAGAATCAGTCTCACATCAGTAAAATCAGACTCCGACCTTTTGGTAGCAGCGGTAATATTAAGGAAATACGCGCACATATCGTGTACGTGTGTCGCACATGACACGCGCGCGCACACATACACACACACGCGCGCGCACGCTTACATATAACTGTATGTACACATTTAAAGCGGGAGCGTTAAGACCATCGTATATGAATCTTCGTAACCATAAGCAAAGCCTCCGCGCGAACTCTTTTGTAACACGTTATGTGTTAGGGCCTGAGCACAATAGAGAAAATATTAGGAATAGGAATTAAAAACAGAGGTTAAATGTAATGTACAATGCGAAAAAACATGACAAACAAAATATGACATTTAAATGTATATAAATATAAGCTGTATATCAGGAGCGTACTATACATATATCGTGACTACTGTTACCGATACAAGTGACATGAACCATAGAACGTCGTTAGAGAAACAAGGACATACATATATAAAAAGAGATTATGTTAGATTTAAACGTATTATAGATTGTTTGTGTATTGTAGGGGCTTCCAAATCATGGTCTAATAGTCTTATTATATTCTTCAATGTTATGTCTATCTCGGATACTTTTTGGTTTTTATGAATAACTCTTGAACTTCAAATATCAGACACTAAAAATAAAAGTGATTGTTAACTTCAACAATTTTTGTTAAGTTTTTGATATATTGAAAAGTACCCGAGATTAATTTCATTATTTTCATTTATTCTGTAGAGCCGTTTTTCTATCCGTGCAATAAATACAAAATGCAATCTAAAATACGAAATTAATTAAATTACTCGTTCGATCAGTATAACAGGCAGGTTCAGGATCCTCTTAAGAAAATTCTAAAGTCGGATTATTTTATCGATAAAACTGAATTCTTTGTGCACACTAATCTCTTTTTTTGGCTGTGTGATAAATCCTTTTTTGATAAATCCTTTTTTACAATGGTAAATTGGGGTATTATGGCCATACGGAAAAGATGACCATAGACTGTAATATCACCAATAATTAATATAATATAATATAAAAATCTCGCTCGTAAAATTAACAATAAATAATAATAATTAGAATAAAGGTCTCCATCGAGCAACAAGTAGATCTTAGGATTTTATTAATATAAATTCACATAAAGTAATGTAAATGACATATAGTCCCGATAAAAAATTTTTTATATATACTTATACACAAATTATAATAATTATATCTAATTATGCAAATTTATATGCCGAATATGTCCATACAATTTTATACACGGAGAATTTCTTTTTTTAA